GATATCACCTTTTCACCACCTCTTTCCCCCAAACTCTTCTTTGACAATGGGGACAGAGGGCATGGGCACCTTCGACTGCGAAGACTTAGCAACGCGACACTGAAACAGTTGGTATAAAGCTTACCAGCTGACGGAGAACCGGAGTCATCTGTTCTAGCTGAAGAGAAATCTTCCTCAGCAGTCGCACACTCTCTGTGGCACTTCCAGAGACAGTGCCAGTCTCTCCTTTCTTAAGAGCGGTTATCGGGAGATGTTTCTCCACGTCGGGAACCCAACTTTAAGCTTGTTTTTTTTTGGAGCTGAGCTAGGTTTCTCTCCAGCACTGACAGGGTCCACAAACACCTGGAGGGCTGAGAGCCTGGCCATGTCCCGAATTGGCATCTATTCAGATCAGTATCACTACGGCTTGTTCTGGAGGAAAGACAACCGGGAAGACATGAGCCATTGTTTTTTGCGCAGTGAAAACAGCGTGAATTTTGACTGGGACGACTGCAGAAGACTCCTACATTTCTAAGCTGTTTGATGGCATAGCAGAGGCAGCAAGATGTGCCACTGAGACTAGGTTAGGAGAAGGAAGCACTTCAACAACCTTGTTCACCGTTGCACTCTCCAGAGAGGAAATAGACACTCCCCTAGAGCCCTTTTAACGACTGTGCCGAAAGCGCAAGAAGTTATTGGGAGTGAGAAAGGTGTGGGTGCAGGAGAAATGGTTATCAAAGGCTTAGGCACGGGTGATGATTGGATGACAGCCTCATGGCGTGCTATCATCTCTAAACTGGCCTTTTTTGCTGCAGCGGATGCGGCAGCTACACCATATATCTATTCTGCGTCCTGGAGGCACTGTTCCAATATCCCCTGCCTTGATAATGACACTGTTGACAGAGAGCAGGGAAGGGATGTCTCACAAGAAGAAAGAATAACATATGAGAGTCTTTTTAACTTCTTGAAAATTAGCCCTGTCATGCCTCTATAGTGAGAGTCATAGGTGCCAGACTACCTGGCAGGAGACAGGAGTTTCATTGACGGAAGGAGATGTATCCGTTAGTGGGATTCCTGATATTCCTAAAATTCTTTGTTTACACCACAAGGGAACGTTTAACAAAGATGACTGTTCTCCAAATAGGACCTTCCGAGTGCATCAAGGACGAAAGCCCTAAAAGGGGGGGGGAAGCTGTCGTGATCACAAAATCTTGCCAGGGCATCCTCTTGGTACTGCTGCCTCCTACGTCATAGAAACTATTCTCTCTACCACGCCGCGCCGCCACTACTCTAAGGATATTGTTATTCCCTCGCCTTGATACGAGATGATCGTACAGGATCATCATCACCGTGGAAGGATATGGGAATTACGTCACTGGCAATGCCTGGAAGACACCCCAACCTCCCCTAACCGTATGGAGCGGCACCTTATCATATTCATGAAGAAAGGGAGTCTGATAGAAAACCTATAGTTAATCGACTAGTTAACTAATGTAATAAAATATCTTCCCAATCATCAAGCTTCTAAATAAGGAAGACTTCTTCTAGTGGTCTATATATCGGCTCAAATTTCTCAACTAAAAACTACTGCTGTAAGTTACAATATTATACACTTTATCTTATGATCAAATTGAGAGAGTTGAAGGGTATTTAAATAATCAGCTTCTAATAGAAAGTTAATCTGTACTACTTGTAACTGTTACAATTACTATAAATAAAAAATAAATTTAAATATTAATTCAATAGTAATCTGAACTAACGACTTAGTCTTTATATAAACATGACTATTGGTGAGCTCAGTGGGAAGATTTTAAAGATTATAGATAATTTAGGTTGGTGTTATTTGATATACAACTGTTGGCGAGTAATTAAAGAATATAAATATATATAACTTTGATAAGGCAAGTACTTGCAACGGGCTAGTTACTGAAACAGTTGACGATTACACACGTATGAACAACAAGGAATCGTTCGTTAGAAAGGAAGAAGAGAAGAGAAGAGAGATCATATCAAGACAGAGCCTTGATAATAAAAGGAAAAGTTATACGAGGGAGGCGGAGGCTTATATGAAGGCAGCCTGAAGAGTCGGTCGGAGCTTCGGTGATAAAAGGAGAAGTTTATACAGGAATGACGGAGGCTTATATAATAATCACTGACCATCTGAACGGTGGGTCAATAACTATCTATAGTTGATAGTTAACTAGTTATGCCGCAGCTTGGTAGTTTATGTCACTAAGCAAGATCGGTCGGTTTTCCCTGATAAAACCACACGATTGTTGTTACATTTTCAGATTTTCAGATTGTGAAAATATCTCCCTGTTTACACAAATCCCCTTTCAGGACACTTTTCAAGAAATATCCGGCATGTCCAGTCTATATATCCTGAGGAGATATTAGGTCCAGCCGAATGGGTTGTGAGTAGGCATGGGTCTATGATCATCCGCAAATAGGAGGGTGACAAGCTCAGGTCTAATTCTGCCATCCCTTCGTCCGGACTGTTAAGGGTCCAAACTTACATACATTTTTTGCAGGCATAGCAAAGTCAATAAAATATAAGAGCTAACCCAACTATGATCCCATCTCTCTCTCCCATTCTCTTTCCCTCCACTCGCTGTATGTGTGTGTGTGTGTGTGTGTTTGTCTGTTGCGATCTTATCTTCTGCTCGATCTTATCTCCCGGCCTTTAGCCTCCGGGTATTCTATTGTTCCGTATTCCGAGCCGAGGTTCCCCATCCCGCATTATTTTTTTTATTAGTATCTCATATCTTCTGTCCGCCGCATCTTCTCTCCTCCTCCTCCTCCTCCTCCTCCTCCTCCTCTCCTCCTCCTCTCTCCTCCTCTCTCTTCCTCTCCACTCGCTGTGTTATAGCCTACCTTGCGTGTTCTGTTTATTTGCTTTTTTCTTCTCACTTTCTTTTTCGTTTGCTAGTTTAGCTGGCTTGGTTGTGCCTTCAATATCTCTACCTACTTTTTGTTCTCCTGGTGGTCCTTCCAACCTGCCATCCCCCGACGCGACATGCCTTCCTCTGCATCCACCATCTCTACTCCAGTCCCCACTGAGTTAGAGTCACCAAAACAAGCCTCCACCGCCTCCACCGCCTCCACCGCCCCCAATGCTACCGTCGCCCATATCAAATCCTTCGTTGCGGGTGGTGTTGGTGGACTGTGTGCGGTGATTGTCGGCCACCCTTTTGACTTGGTCAAAGTCCGGATGCAGACCGCTGAAAAGGGTGTCTACTCGGGCGCTATTGACGTCGTGAAGAAAACCATTGCCCGGGAAGGCCTTGCCAGGGTAAGTCATTGTTGTCCATTCACTCTTTTATATACATGGATATGTACTGGTTTCACAAAACTCACAGCGATACCGAAAATATAGGGGTTATATGCTGGTGTTTCCGCTCCGCTCGTTGGAGTGACTCCTATGTGTATGATTTGATATCCCTCACCTCTCTCTCCATGGGTTAGTTGCCATCGTCCATTAGCTGATTCTTCGTCTCTGCAGTTGCCGTGAGCTTCTGGGTACGTTCTTATCCATATATATATGCATTGTGTTATCACTTAACCCCTAACATTTTGTCATCTGCACTCTACTCATCCTCTCTCCTCTCCAATGTATACAGGGTTACGATCTTGGGAAAACCCTTGTTCGCAATTTTTCCACCGTCCCCATTCATAATGGAACTCCCCAGTACTCCATCTCCCAGATATCGGCTGCCGGCTTCTTCTCCGCCATTCCTATGACCCTGATCACCGCTCCTTTCGAGCGTGTCAAGGTCCTCCTTCAGATCCAGGGTCAAAACCCCCCTCCCCTTGGCCAAAAACCCAAGTATTCAGGTGGTATTGATGTTGTTCGACAGCTGTACAAAGAGGGTGGTGTCCGCAGCGTATTCCGTGGAAGCGCAATGACCTTGGCTCGTGATGGCCCCGGTTCCGCTGCTTATTTCGCCGCGTATGAGTATATTAAACGAAGCCTCACACCAAAGGATGCCGACGGAAATGTTACCGGTGAATTGTCCCTGCCTGCCGTGATCGCTGCTGGTGGCGCTGCTGGAATTGCCATGTGGATTCCCGTGTTCCCGATCGATACAATCAAATCCCGGTTGCAAAGCGCAGAGGGACGACCTACCATTGGTGGCACCATTCGCGGGGTATATGCAAAGGGTGGACTTAAGGCCTTCTTCCCCGGTTTTGGACCTGCATTGGCTAGAGCTGTACCCGCAAACGCAGCTACATTGTGTGTCCCACTCCCACACCTATCCCTTTGCCATATAATATGCATCTGATTTGCCACCTACATTACGATATGCTAACGAAAATTGCTTTCATAAACAGCCTCGGGGTCGAGCTGGCTCACAAAGCCATGGCCAATATGTTCTAGTTGTTGTGCCCTGATAAATCAATAATACACTTGGTCTCAGGCACACTGATTTTAATGACTGTTCCCAAAAGATGATGTGAAAGCCATGATACCCATGTTACAATATATTTCTATATATATATATCCATCTGCAGGATGGAATTCTTTAGTATATATTCCCTTCGGTGCTTTCATTTTCATGCCAGGCATTTGCTTCAAAATGGAGTTTCACTTATATAGATATTTTTCCTTGTTGCTTCCTACATATAGGTATGGATGCGCCGCCTGCCTCTCATGATTGGTTAATTCTTTCATCATGTTTTCGATCTCTCTGCATCTGAATTATCATTCTGTCCGCTAGCTATAAAGCACGTAGAACGTTGTTATACCTATTTTATTACAATTAGATTCATATATTGAGCTCTTTCTGCATATACGTCACTTTAGTAGTTAAGAATAGAGCTTGCCAGTCCGTTCGTTGCATATAGACGTTTCAATTGCCCAGCGAACCTCAAACCAGTAAAATCATGTTTCCCTCTCCCTCCAAAAGCAACAAGGTATACCGCCATACCTGATATTTTGCTTTGACATTACTCCGGATACGCCACGTAGCAGTCCGCCGACCTCTTCTTGCTTTTTCCCTTGAATATGCTCATGTCTCCATCTACTGCATAAACTTTCCACCACAATATATACACGTATCAAACGTGCCACAGAGGATGTCAAGCAACTTTTCACTCCGACGCTGAGACTGAACCCCACCACCTGCAGTCTCCGCTTCCAGTTCAATTGAACTAGGACATTCGATGAGATCGGCGTCCAGAACTTCACCACTACATCCCGAACAGCGTTTGGAGATCGACGGATCTTGGATGGAAAGGAATGTCAAACCACATCGAGCTGGATTCTTGAGAATTAGCATGGGTGAGTTGAATTTTTGCAGAGACGGGGAGATTGTGAAGGAGAGAGAATGTAGGGAAAAGAAAACACGGAAGACACACTGAACACATGTCCCTCCGTACATTGGGACTCATCTGGTGAGTACCAGTTAATACCGCTACCACATATATCGCAGAATTCAAACACATCATGGGCTGCCCAAGATGTCCCTTGGTGGCTTTTAGCGGGTATCACTTTGTCAGTTTCAGGAGCCGCTGTAGGTTCCCCGGAGTGGGGAGACTTCGACTGGAGCATCTTATTTATGCATTTTAGCTCCAGGGACAGACAAAGGTTGAATGATTCGGACAGCCACTCTGCCGTCGATTTCGCAGCTTGTAGCAGATGCGGTTCATCTGAAGGGTCATGATCCGTAATCACGCAGCACACAGCCGCATATTGGAGCTTTCTTGCCCAAGAATCAGTTAATCGATGCCTGTGGCTCTCATGGAGGATGAAAGCGAGAACATTTGCACGGGCAGCCCTCATGCGATCGGGTGTTAGGTCCGGGGGATTGGCCCAGGGCAGCAAAACGGAGCCCAGTTCGGCTTGGTTCTGGGTCTGTTCCTGGTGCGGTGGTGCGAAAACGATCCTTGAGAGCTCGCGGGCCGTTGTGGTATATTCTACCATATCGCTCGGGTGGACTGTGAAGCATGCTGCAATCCAGCCTCGATAGCTGGCAAGACCCCAGGTTCGCGCAGTGGACATTCCTCCCAGGTCGTGGTCGAGGTCGAAGCGGCTGCAAAATCCTCCTATTTGGCTGGAGAGATATGCACTTTGCGCGTTTTCCACGTCCAAATTACCAGTGACAGTAGTTGGTTGCGTTTCTGCAAATGTGAACTGTATGGAACGGAGAGAGGAAGTAAATTGAGCTACATGCAAGGTCGGAATGACAGATTGCGTGTCTGTAGTGGATGTCATTGCTGCCCCAAACGGATTCTTAGCAAGATAGCCACTTGTGATGTTTATTAGGCGGCATAATACGCACCGGTAATTGGCTCCCATTCTTGAGTGTTACCTTCTACTCCTCCTACCTCTAGTCTCAGTGCGTCGTAGACTGATATAGACAATCTGGGTTGCGAAGGGCTTCCAGGGTTGCGGGCGAACAAGCCATCGAACGTAATGACAGCGAATTTCCCAAGTGCTCCCACGGCCAGAGAAGGCAGAGATTCATTTCCAGTACCCTCCCACAGTCAGTAAAATAAAAAATCGCAAACTCTCGTATGGGGACAGTGAAATATCAACTTATTTACCTCAATGTCAATCCAATTCAACGGGCCTTGAAAGTTCATATCCTGGAACTGCTCACCCTGCGAAATTGGTATAAAGTCGCTTAATTGCATATATAACCTGCCATCAGCACTTCCATCTTCACTCTCTTCTGTAACTTCTCCGCGTTGTGTATTAATCATGAAAACCTTGACCTTAGTACCATGTAAAATGGCCAGCAGAGATGAATGTTTTCTAGGATTCCCTTTCTCGTCCAAACTCGGATGCCAGCGGCCCCACTTAATATGGGAAATCATATGCATGGATCCCATGGCGTGGCCCAGAAGAGATTCAGACAGCACCTGTGGATACACCACAGCCGGTGCAGGTAGTTCATAATGGAAAATAACCTCTGCCGACAACGTTCTCTGAATGCCAGATCCACTGAGATCATTTCTGACGCTGATCACAGTTATGTCGTTCATATCGTTTGCAACTCCCAGCAGGGCCATGTTGCGTTGGGCGCGCTGCTCATGTCCTAGAACATTTTTACTTTCAAACGGAGGACTCCAGCAAAAGGACCTCACATGTTGTTTCCGCTGTAAAACTCGGCTCTCGTCCTCCGCTAACGGGGCAAAGAACTTTCTGAGTGCAGTGTTGATGATCGCAATCCTAATCCACTTTGACTGGCCATCTACCAGCTCCCATAAAGATAACACTAAGTTGCTTGTCAACACTGCGAGGGCATGCCGGCTATACCTAGCCAAACGCTGTGGGGACCAAGACAAGCCGACAACATGGCTAGTAGACTGCTCTTCTCCAATGGAAAAAGTTGTCCCAGGCTGAGGAAAGATCATGGGCCAGTCCTGGTTAGCGAAAATATTGGCGCGGAACTTGGTCACGGTCCACTGGGATCTTGAAGGTGCTCCGGTTGTTGTCGCGTCCTTCGATGGCTGTGACTTGACTTGCGGAAGCTAAATTAGGGCATTAGCACACACATTATATTCGATATATAAGTAATAAATAGGTCTTTTGGACTCAATTGGAAAAGGTTGTATCATCCGTGTTCAGGTGCCCTTTCGCGAGAGCCAGGGTGGTTGACAGACCAATACTTGGACATATTCTCCCAGCCCAACAGCCAGGTCGCCATCCAGCGACCAGGAAACACAGTCAAAGCAGGATGGAAAAAGAGTGAGTTCGATGGGATCGAGCATGATGACGGCTATAGTTGCGTTATTTACTGTTGGAGAGGATACCACCAGAACTACCACACTCCATAATTCATGTTTGAAGTTTGGTCAACCAGAGCTTGTGTTGGGAACGGAAGACAATGTATTAGATGGGTCGCCGCGGGGAGTAAAGTAACATCGAAACAACGCTGGACCAAATTTGACGAAAATATATGAGTTGCGTAACGAGGCCATCTACGGGTCTCACGGTTTAGCTAATTCCTTTTGATAAGGTTCTTTACTTTAGGTGATAGTTTGAGGGCATTTTCAGTGAGGGCGCTACAAATTTAACGTTACCAGCCAGGTACAGAGCAGAACAAGGAGTAATGGCATAAGATTAGGTAAAATACACTTTTTTTTAATATCACCAGTTCGTAACTGAATTTGAGACTAGATAATTAAATTCTACTTATTTATCATTTGGAAGGGAATCCAAGTCAAATAGTTTTCCAGCAACCGCATCCCACTCGTCATCCCATCGCCGTTTGCTTTCCTGGAGCGCACCTTGGCGAAGTACTGCTAGTTTCTTGCCATCATCGCCAAAGAGATCCAGAAGGTGAGCGAGGAGTTCATCGGGACTCCCAAACCCAAGGCCATTTATGCCTTCCGTTACCAGTTCTGGCCATGACTCGTATCGACTCCAGCCAACAACCGGGAGCCCAGCTCCAAACATGTCCACAACCTTCATGGGCAAATCAACGCCGCTGGTGCTGGTGTGCAAACACACACCAAGAGACGCACTTGCGAGAAGCTGGGCGTAATCTTGCAAACTTAGCCATGCTGATTTAATTACCACTTTATTAAGTTTGTCTTCGGCCATCAAGTTCGCAACTCTCGAAAGGTACATATCACGCTGCGGTCCCTTGCCGGTTATTATGACTCCCAGCCGTGGCAGGTCATAATTCACCGTGGAGGATATAGCTGAGTAGCGACATAAAGCGTCGATTAAAATCGAGAAATCTTCGTCCGGTGTCCATGAAGTCGAGCTCACGAGAAGGCGACATGCCCCATTCCTCATATCACGGACAAATTCTGATGTCTCTGGGAGAGACGAGAGGAAGGCATACTTTTTATCATCGTTCTGAAAGGGTTGGAAGAGGGCAGGAGGCCGATCATGCAACACAAGAATGGGTGCTTTTATTTTTAAATCATCACGTAATTGTCGCGCCATCGCCTTACTGACGCAAAAGTTCGCCGCAGAGAGGCGACCAAACGAGGCCTCATGGGACTTATTAATCTTCACCATCGGGTGGCCTTTACCCAGTTTTAACGCCAGGATGGAGTATCCAAAATTATGCCAATCAATGATCAGGCAGCTGTTGCGAAGTTTGCACACAAGGTGTGCTATCACAAGGGTGGGAGCCGCAGGTGGATTCTGAAACGAGGAACTCAAGATATATATCTCAGCCGCCAGAACAAAAGAAAGAATAAAAATAAGCATAATAAGGTGGATCCCACTCAGATCCTTAGCAGAAACCACAGGGGTAAAAAATGGGAATTAACGATCCATGGGAGTGCATTGACAATGACTGACCTGGACTAGCATCCATTGCGCAGGTTTTGACCGATATGCCACGGCAAGCCATAAGCACCATGTCTGATGCAACAGCTTCAGAGCAGCAAGAACTGGAAAAAGGTATCTATTGCTAGTTCTGAGAAAATTTGGAGGTGAAGCTAAAGGCACAATAGCCACTCGAGGATTTTTCACCAAGTCAGGGTGGACAGCCGAACCTGATAGTTGTGCAGGGTCAATAAAATGAAGGAGGGTTTTCCAGAGGAGAGAGCAAGCAGGCACGGCATACTTGTATATCCAATAAGAGAGACATCGCAATTATGATTCGCAATACTCAGGGCATGATATTGCATTCGTGGGCTGCGACCAATATCTCCAAGCACCACGATCTGGACTGATGAAGTAGGGTTCCGAATGCGTTGATTGGAATCTGAGGGGGGGTTTCGACTCGTTGGCTGGTTCCGCTCATAACGAGAGGGCAAAATTAATAGCAAGGTCGATATAACCAGAGTTGTGAAGAACAACGCTCCCGCGCCAATTGCTGTCAACATGACAAGCGAAGAAGAACCAGAACCAACTGCACAGGGCTATGTGCCGGGTTTCGAGCAAATACGGTGTACCTTTCCCTTCCCCTTAGACACCTGCACCAGAGTGCGGACTATTAGCATTAACTCTGAAGAGGCCTACGAGGTGACAAGTCAAAACTCGCACACAGAGTACTCGGGGAGGGGAGTTATTACTGCTGAACTCCGCTACTATATCTCCTTCTCCTCTTCTTCTGGCTGCACTAGATGGATGTTTTCCCATGTTTAAAGTTGGCGGTTGGCGGTTTGCGGTTTGCCGCTTTCCCTTCGGGAGCAAGTCTCTGCCGGTGAAATAGTTAATCCGCAGTTCCGTTCCGTTCCTATCGGTGAAGATTCTCGGCTTGCCGGTCGGCACCCGAAATCGGGATGCCGTTGCCCCTTGCAGATAGCCCAGATCAATAATAATGGGAAGTATCAGAGGGGGGGGGATGTGCCGCTTCAAAATTGCGTCTTTACTCAAGTGTCCACTCAACGTTTTCTCATCGTTTTCATGGCCAGACTTCTCCTGCTTCTCGACACCGAAACAATTCTTGGAAGTGTCTAGGCGCTAGATAAGCGTGGTTCATCAGGGCCTAGGGAGCGTTTGGTGGAGAATAATTATTGAGATGGCGGGATTGTTGAACGACTACTTCCCCTGCCCGTACAAAACTACATTCATGGATACCCACATCTGGTGTGCCCAACCCCACGGGGGATTGGAGTCACGTGGGATCGGAGCATGAAGATGAGAGATTGACCCGTGTTGCTGTTAGACTACATAGTCTATACTGGGCTATTGACGATCACAAATTCCATAGAGGTCATGATATCCTAACAGATTAGACTGTTAGACCCAAATGTGCAATCGCATAGGGGATCACCTGATCCATTAATATACGCGTATATCACGTGCGGCGGGGCGGCAGCCCGGGCCACATACGCCCACGTGCCTAGCTTGAGAGATCACATGATATAGCGCCAACCATGTGACTTCCCAAGGTTTCTCGCATATTTTGACGATTTGCGGCTGCTTTTCAGGGGCAGAGCAACTCTAAACAGCAACGTCAACAACATCAACAACATCAACAACATCAACAACGGTGGAATGAAGGGGATGATAATTTATAGCTGAAAAGCTTCCATCAACAGCCTCAGCGCTGGATATACCCATAAATCCTCGCTTCATTCCTTGATTCAGCTGAATCAAGAGGTCACATCAAACCTGCTGTCAAAGATCTGTTACACATCCGTATCAACCCAGCGGACTACCGTTCTATTGGCAAGATTGGTTTCGTTCAATATATAATGAGGGCCATTGTATGATGCCCTCTCCCTCAGACTCAGCCATGGACAATCCTGTCCGTGGTGGCCTCCATCTTCCACCGCCAGGCGATCGGCGATCTCGCGGCGGATATACTTCACTTGGCCAGCAGTCGATGTCATTGCCTTATGCGGGAGACAACTTGTCTGCCTATTCTAATACACCAGATATTGTTAATGGCCTGGCAGCAGAGACAGCGACACATTCACTGCTGGGACATGCTCGCCATTACTCCGAAATTCCCCCACGATCACCTGATGGTTTAAACTCCGAGCCCGCGCCGGGTAACAACTGGTGCACAAACAATGAAGGTTGTGGTTCTCTGGGATTTACCTCAGGTATTCCAGATACGGCAACTGCAGCACGCAGGGACAATTCCTTTGATTCAGAGAGTGCGTATCAATCAGCCACGCTCATGAACAAGTTAGTTTCTCATGGATGGATTATGAATTCCGATATTACAGAGGTGGCCATTCGCGAATGCTGACTTTTATTGGCTTTAAGGCTACTCTCTAGTGAAGTTATTACCGGCATGCTGGTGTCCATCCCATACATGCTGTCATCAGCATTGATGAGCACATATCCGTCCAACCATGACTCAGAAAGGCATATCCAGAATGAGTCTGTAGAAATTGGTGTTGTGAATTACCATAGCCCAAGGAGGAGGGCTCTTCTCGATACCTCCATTTTGGTCTCCATCACAATGTTGGCGATGAGTCTTTATGAGATCAGGAAGAAGAACCAGTCCAGTTCACTCCACGATTCAACCAGAAAGACAGTATCTAATGTATCAAATATTCGGGCCTTTCGAAATGCTGTCCTCATTGCCATCTCCATCGGGTTGCCATTTTACTCCTCAATGCTTCTTGATCATGGAAGAGTTGCCATCGCAATGCTTCTCCTGCTGGTGTCTGGCGTCTCCCCGGTTGTCCAGCTTGACTCTAAAAGCAACCACCAGAGACAATCTATTTTTCGTCTAAAACAGCGCAAGGGAACAGTTTGCTGCTTATTTGGGATATTGTTTCTAGATATTGCAAAATTCACGTCGTCTACCGACCTATCACTGTTGATTAGAGGATATTTGGCCCTTTTCCTCTCAGTATTTATTATCCAACCTCCTTTCTTAAATGTTCCTAAGTTACCTTCTGTTTTCCATCCTAAGGATCCAACATATGAGCCTTCGGTGACTGAAGCCATCCCTTCCGGCCCTGGTGTTCCGGCGATGACCTCAGCTGTTGCCCTGGCAGGTACAAGAACATTTGTCCAGATGGGTGCCTTTCTAGCAAGTCTCAGCCTTGTCGTTGGATATACGACAGGTGTTAATTTTATCACTTTTCCGGCGTTAGTGACTGCGTTGTTGGTTGGGTTGCTCTCAGCAGTGTCCTTTCTAAATGTCACACCGTCAACTCTCCAAAGTAGACATCAGTTAGGGTTTCTTTCAGGATCCAGCTCTGCCCTTGTCGTCAACGCTATTACATCCCATTTGGAACTCTCAGGCGTTTTGACCTCTTGTGCTTTCATCGCTCTTGGCTATATTCTAGTTCATCTAGACCTTAAATCGATAAAACCAGAAATCCCTGCACATTCCCATATAACGCACGTACAAGGAGATCATGTTTACCACCATCACCACCACAATACCCACCATCACGGTGGAGAGGGCCGCCCATCTCATGCGACGAGATGGCTTCTGAATATATGCGAGCACTGGCCTTTTATGTACGGGATCATCAAAGAAAAGGATTCAAGAAGGATATTTTATTTCATGTGGTCAGTTTTTCTCCCGAGACCAAAATAATATACAGTCCAAGTTTGTAAGGGCACACTAACACTTATTTGTCTGTTACAAGTCTCAATTTCGTATTCATGCTCGTCCAGATGTGCTATGGAATCATAACAGGCTCTCTTGGTTTGCTGAGCGACAGCATTCATATGTTATTTGATTGTTTCGCTCTCGCAGTAGGTCTGTCTGCCGCGGTGATGAGTAAATGGCCACCAAGCGTAAGGTTCCCGTATGGGTACGGAAAAGTAGATACATTAGCTGGTTTTGCCAATGGCGTGTTTCTCATGTATGTCGCTTTATACCGGTGCTGGGGCGTCACAAACCTTCTAGTAACTGACAAATCATTACAGGATTATAAGCATCGAGATCATCTACGAGGCCATTGAGAGGCTCATGTCTGGCAGTGAAGTTCATAGAATTCGGGAACTCCTCTTCGTGAGTGCTGCGGGGCTGGCAGTCAACATGGTGGGCATTGTTGCTTTTGGTCATGGTCATCATCACGGTCATTCCCACTCCCATGGTGGCCATGACCACGGTCCGGGTCATCTACACACACACCACTCCAACGAAAACATGCACGGAATATTCCTCCACATCCTTGCTGACACCCTTGGATCCGTAGCTGTGGTTATCTCCACGATCCTGGTGCATTACTACAAGTGGCCTGGGTTCGACCCCATTGCCTCCTGCCTCATAGCCATTCTCATTTTTGCCTCTGCTATCCCACTCGTGGCAAGCACATCGAAAACCCTGCTGCTCGCCCTTCCCGCAGATGTCGAGTATACCCTGCGCGATGCGCTAGCTGGCGTGAGTACTTTGCGTGGGGTGGTGGGATATACGGTTCCGAAATTCTGGCTCGATGATACAGTGCATGATCATAAAGAAAAACACTATCACCACAGCCACCACCACCACCATGACAACAACCATAGCCATCATATCCACAGCCATCCTCTTGACGGCAGCGGTTGCGGCAGCGACGAGCACGAGCACGAGCACTGTGCCGGGCAACGAATCCTAGGAGTGATACATGTAATCGCGTCGCACGGGGCAGACATAGAAGACGTCCGGCGAAGAACGATCAGCTACCTGGGCGCAATGAACATCGATATCTTGGTACAGGTTGAGCGCGAAGGGGAGAGCCGCTGTTGGTGCGGTAGTGGTAATAAGCCGACAAGTTGACAAACGAGAATATTTTGACAGCCAGTGCAACGGTTATGGATGGTAATTTCTTTGTCACATATTACCCTTTTGTTTTTATTTTTATTTATTTATATAATGTTATTTTTCATATATCATTGGTTTCCCGTTTGCTGTGTGCTGCATAATTTCTCCCCCTTCCCCCTTCCCCCTTCCCCCTTTTTTTTTTTTTTTTTTTTGGTTGCACTTTTTTACGTCATTATGCCATATTTTCTCGTGTGCTTTGAATATGCCATGCACTGCAGTCGGCTTGGTCAATGGTTGTCCTGCCCACAGCATATAGTTACATGTTCTATCTATATTTACATTTCGGTACTAAAACTCCAGCAATATTTCTGTCATCCCTGCACGAAACCATCGCTTGACTCAGAGTAGAGAACGCGTATAGTGCCTCCGTTAACAATGTCATTAGTCTTAGACTTTGCAAACCAGCAAAAAATGATGTCTATATAAGCCTGGACAAATGAGCCGAGCGGCAATGTCTGACTGGATGAAACGTATATACAATGAACATGGGTAATAAGTGAAGCACGCCGAACAGTCGTTGATATGATAGAGCGCTAAAACGTTGTAAATTACCCGGGAGTGCTATATCGCAGAGTCATATAATACATTCGGAGTGTTGTATCGCACAGAGTCATGTAATACATTGGTATGGAACAAGAACGGACCGATTACACGCGCACCCATGTTCTACTCGACGCTCTCCAACCTCTGGACGATGACGGCAGTAGCGGCACCACCACCGTTGCAGATGGCAGCGAGACCGTACTGGCCTGGCTTCAGCTGGTGGAGGAGGGTGGTGAGAATCCGCGAGCCGGAGCTTCCTAGGGCGTGGCCAATGGAGATGGCGCCACCGAGGGGGTTGACGACGGCGTTTTCAAGACCGAGGATCTATAGAAAGAGGGAAGTGGTTAGATTTTGTTGCTTGGTGATGTTGTTGTTGTTGGTCCAGGAAGAAGAAGAAAGTAAGAAAGTAAAGAGAGAAAGGAACACACCTTCTCGTTGGCTTTGATCACGGAAGCAAAGGCTTCGTTAAATTCCCAGATGGAGATCTGGTCCTTGGTCAAGCCAGCGCGCTCAAGGGCGATGGGGACGGCCTTGGCGGGGGCGACGGGGAAGTCCACGGGATCAAGGGCGGCATCAGCGGAGGAGACGATGCGGGCGAGCACCCGGTTTCCAGAGCCGTACTTCTGGGCCAGTTCCTTGTTCGTAAGGACGAGGGCAGAGGCACCGTCGTTGAAGGTCGAGGCGTTGCCAGCAGTGACGGTGCCCGTGCCATCGCGAACAAAGGCAGGCTTCAGGGTCTTCAGCTTATCCTCGCGCAGGTTTTCGAACCCGTCATCCCTGGAGACGGAGGTGTCGCCCTTTTTCCCCTTGACGGTCACGACGGCGATTTCGTCTGCGAACTTATCTTCGGCCCAGGCTTTCTGGGCCCGCTTGTAGGATTGGATGGCGTACTCGTCCTGCTGCTCGCGGGAAATGTTGTATTTCTTCGCGGTCTGCTCCGCGCAGACACCCATGTGGAATTGCTCATAGACGTCCCACAGGCCATCCTTGATGAGGCCGTCCTCCATCGTGACGTTGCCGAAGGGCGGTTGCTGGCTGGCCCGTGCTACGTAGTAGGGGACCCTGGACATGTTCTCCATGCCGCCGGCGACCTGTGCCTCAGCCAGACCCAGTTGGATATTCTGGGCGGCTAAGACGACTGCTTTCAGTCCCGAGGCGCAGACTTTGTTGATCGTAACGGCCTCGACGGAGGAGGAGAGGCCCGCGAAGAGGGCGGCTTGACGGGCGGGGGACTGGCCAACGGAGGCAGACAGGACGTTGCCCATGTAGACGTCCTTGATTTTCTCGATGGGGACACGGGATTTTTCGATGGCGGCTTTGATGGCTACGGCGCCGAGCTCGGGGGCAGAGACGGAGACGAAGGCGCCATTGAACTGCAACAGGTTAGATATCTTGAATCTGCCTTCCTTCTTTGACTTTTTCTTTTTCTTTTCTTTTTCTTTCTTTTACTTTCTTTTTCTTTTCTGAGATATATAGAGACATATACTATGGATGTATACCTTGGCTGTTGGGGTGCGGGCGGCACTGAGGATATAGGCGTCTTGTATTTGCTGGGGACAGGATCTGGAGGAGCTGAAATGTCTCTGGACCTGGCCCAGTCTCTGGGAGGATCTTGCAATTGAAGACGCCTGGGGGACAAGTCTGGAGGCAGCGCGGAGGGAGGACGGCATTGCGTATGTGGTGGTATCTGCGGGGTTTGTGTCCGGTGTCGACGGGCGGACGCGAGGGCGCGGCGAAGGGAATCGAACGGAGACGGGTATATACAGGAAAGCAGGGGAAATGCGACAGAAGATATATATATATATATATATTATATTTATAAATGCAAGAACAATATACAGACAGGAAACAAGGGAGGGGGATAGAGGAGGAGAAGAGGCAAAGAAACTAGTATTTTGTGTTGTCTGGATATATTCATTCTCTGGTGGTTCAGTTGGTTTGGTTGGTTGGAGTCGGCCCAAACCCGGGATTTCTCGCGGGACAAAAAATAAAGAGCAGGCAAAAAAAAGCAGGCAAAAAAAGAGCGGGCAAAAAAGGAGCGGTCAGTTTTTGACTAACCAATTGAGTAAGCAAACAACAAGCAAACAACAAGCAAACAACAAGCAAACAAACCCCAAGTATCCACCAAGTAAGTATCCAACCAGTATTTCACCAGGGGGGGGGGAGGGGTAAGGTACCTCAGTAGTAGCCAAGTTACAAAGTAAGCAGTTTGTTGCTGTCTCTTGCTTGCCTTGTCACGTGCCTTCCTCCCCCACAGCAAGAATGAACTTGGCGAAAACCTTCCAAGGTTACAACCATCTGACTAATCCCTTGATGAGGTTAGCTGGTACGTGCCGTGGCTAAGCGCTTCACGGGGTTGGTCTTGGCTGCTGCCCGTTGCCGCAGCTGGGGCAGCTTGGGGGGACGCAGAAGGTGGCGTCGGAGTAACAATAACCCGGCTGAGTCATCGGACCGTATTGGTCAACCCCCCCCCCCCCCCGCGCCACGAGATGGGCAACAAAGTTCTGCTGGGGGCCCGGAGCATTGATTGATTACTCACTCACTCCTAACCACACTGACTAACCCAACTGACTTAACTAACTAGTTAACTTAACTAGTGATGTCAACTGGTTCGAGCAACCAAATTCACAACTTAAAAACGTTAATCAGCTAAATTAGATCCCCAAATACTTCATCCAACCGTTGTTGTTGTTGTTGTTGTTGTTGTTGTTGTTGTTGTTGTCGTTGTTGTTGTGCTGCTGGATCTCCTCCTTCTGTGACCAGACAACCATCTCCTTGCAGATATCGTTCTATCTACGCTGAGCACCCTGATTAACTCGGTACTCGGACCTCATTCCCTCCCCGCCCTGCCAGTTCAATCCCCCCCGCGTCCATCCGTCCTCCCTACACCGTCCAAGCCATGTCCACCGCTGCTC